GCAGCTCGCTTCTTGTCGCCGCATGCGTCGCAAGATGCACCAAAGATTGCCATCGACTACATGACCAAGAAACTTGCCATTTACCAAAAGTTCAATGCAACTTATCCTGGATTTGGTGGGTTTCTGCCTTGGTTTACCAATTACGATGATCATATTGAGCCTACATGGGACTGGGTAAACCGCGTTCCGGCACTTGACAATGGGTAGGTTTCGAAAGCAGCATTGGGAATCAAATCGTCCTCATTCGGAAGTTGTCTTCCAGGGAGATGATTTGGGCAATCTACGCCGCTATTGAGGCGATGGAGTCCACAAACAACAAACCTTACATTCAACTTGCATCCAAATGGCAGGCTTACCTTGATTATCTCAAAACGAATGCAGCCAAGGTAGGCAACGTGTGGTCAGACTGCGTCCGAGTCTCAATTATTCGACAAGGTTTTCTATGCTGGCAACGGCAACGTTTGCACCGTAACCTCTCTCAATCAATCTCTGCCACTCCATGATCCTGCCAACAACGTGACTTGCCAGACTCCATCCTATCTCGATGACCCTTACGAAGGCGAACTCTTCACCTGGTTCCTTTACTTCTTTGGTGGTCTTTCTGCCAAGGACAAGCAACAGCTGTGGATTAACAAGCGTCCTCAATTGGTCAAGGTCGATTATGACGGTGGTAAACAGTTTGGCAACATCACCGTTGTGAAGGGCTTCTGGTATAGCGCCCATGAAGAATGGAAATTCCTCGAGATGCCATACCTTGACATTCCCTTGTTGCAGTATGTTTGTCTTCAATCCCGCAAAAGCGCCGTCTCACTGACCTTCGACATTCTCTAGACGACTTTACCGGAACGGTCAAGTAGTTCGTACGTGCAATTCCGTCGTCAACAAGATTCCTGGTATGTACGCTTCTGTCAACAATTCTACAGACGTCAATGGCCAAATCATTGGCTACATCTCCAATGCGGGTATTCCATCCATAGCCAATCAAACCGTTCAAGAACTCGATGTCATTACGCCTTACTCTTCCTTCACCACTGTGTTGATTGACAAGGGTGTAGGCTTGGCCTGGTGGAAGAATATGGTTGACGGTAAAAAGATGCAAAGTGAGTAATTCGCAAAGTTGAATGGTCCCCATTGACTGACATCCTCGCAGACATTTACGGATCATCAGAGTCCGAGCGCGTTGATGGCACCGCTACATCCTCCTTCGTCTCTTGGGACTCCAAGATCACCACCGTAAACGCTCTTCTTGGAGGCGTGTATTCGATTGTCGGAGACAAGATGAAGAAGGACGGCATATACAATGAATTTATTGACATTGCCACCCGCGAGTATGAGTTGGTATTTGGGACAGGGAAATTGGATGGCGAAGGGCTTCCTCTTTGTCTACCTAGTGTCAAAGAACCTCATACCGGCTTGCAAGATTACACAACGTGTCATATGTAAATTCAAATGTGACTACACAATATGTAAACAAAGAGATTACAAACTACAATTCATAGGCGTTTGGTTTATTTCCATCCATAGCGGGATTTGGATGTACTCCCCTGCCGGTCGACCCTCCAAGTGAGACTGTGGGCGAGTCTCCATAACCTTGTGGCGGCGTATGATAATTCGCCGGATCAGAGGAACCAGATGTGTTATTGGTATTGGCTGGAGTTGTTTGAGTGGAGTATGGTGCGTCATGGGGTGCATTGTTGTAAGATACAGGTGGTGGGTGCGCGCTCGAACCCAATGGAGTGCCTCCCGTGCTGGCGTCTGGACCGTATCCAGATTGCTAGATGGACATGAGACTCGGGTAACATGTTGAACCGGCTACGCTTACCTCAGACGTCCCGTTCGCATTCGGTCCTCCAACGGCTTCGGATGGAATATGGTAAAACTTGTTTGAATCACCAAATCGCGATTGATGATAGGTGTTAGTGGGTGTCTGCCGCCGATTGGCATACAAGTCCTGGTAATATCCCGCAGTACGACGTTCACCGGGATTCGACCAATTGTAGTTGGGTCCATATTCGCTTTCAGAGTACGTATCTTCGGTTCCAGCTTGGCCATAATGATGCATGGCCGTTAATCCAGCGAGTCCTGCTGTGCCTGCAGCAACACCTGGTACTGTGCCCAGTCCGGAGCGAGGCTCACCTAGGGCGGCGGAATCATAGTACTCGCTATAGTTATTGTAGTTGTTGTAACTGTCGTAATCATTGTATCCGGCTGCAGCTAGAGCGGGTTCTTCGGCCATGGGATATTGCCCAGCGACGCCATTATCGAACGCCGGATCCATCTTTGGATACTTTTTACTCAATGACTTATCACGACGTCTGAGGCAGCAGAAAAGGAACAATGCGAGGAGGGCAAAAACAAAGACACCGGCGATGGCGATGCCGACAATTGCTCCAGTCGACAGCTGGCCGCCTCCGCCACGGCCAATTGCCGCATTGGACGACGATTGAACACCGCTGGATAATGGAGTCGATGAGAACGAGGATATGCTCGTTGGGCTGGAAGAAGTGATCGAGCTAGACGATGATGTCGAGTCGCTTGTGCTTGTTGGAGTACTGGAAGTAGAACTTGAGGAGGTTAAAGAAGTGCTCGACGTATCAGTTGTACTGCTGTAAGTATCTGTGGGCGATGGGATGTCTGTGGCTGTAGCCGTTGAACGTGTCGTAGGATCTGGCGTTATAAAGACGGACGATAAGAATGACAAGACTGGATTTTGGGCCGAGACAACCGCTGTTGAAGTGAGAAAAAATCCCAACAACACCGGAGGCTTTGGCAAAGGCATAGTTATCCCAGCGCAAGAATGCAGAATGTAAAATCTCTCAATATATCTAAGGGATTGCGAAAGATGTAGCACACGCTGACAGGAGAAGAAGCCAAATGACTTTGAGCAAAGACCAGAGGAGCGACGAAGCTAAACTGCAACCAGATTGGTGCCATTTCACGCTTTTTGGGCCTATACCTTGTGTAACGTACATGACATCACGCATTCCAGGCTTGCGGATTTTTCTGATATTCTTTAGCTCTTTGTCTATGCAATTTTTATCGCAATGGTGCTCAGATATCGAGATGAGGACCTTGAGGTTCGCTATGTTTCTTGTTTGCTTGCCACTGTAAATGCTGCAATTTGTCATCGAAGTCTTGACGACCGGTCGTCCGGATCTGTCAGGAAGACATATCCAATGCTACAACGTAATGTTGTCAAAGTCGTCGTTAATTCCAAAGTTGGCGTTGAAGTCCGATTTCTCCATATTGAAGGTGTTGACACAATATGATTGCAACAGAAAGATATTGTCTGAGAAAATATTATCATTTGCTCAGATATTGCGAAAGGCGCCGAGTATCCGCTGGGTTTCTTACCTGTCCATCGGTTAGCAGCATCCAATGCTACCTTTGTAGCATTCTCTATTGAGTGAATTTGATGTGAGAAGAGCTTCCCCACGCTAACGTTTCGTCTACGTACTTTTGGCGTCGAGTAACGCTGGATCACTTTCTCGATATTGTTCCAGTTCTGCCAAAAGTTTTTCGCTCTGACTTTCAGCTTCTGCGAGATCTTTCAACAGCTCCGCTCGAGCGGCCTAGTAGAGGGACAGACCGCTATGAGTGGTCATTTCTTGTAGCCACACAAGACTTACGGTTTCCTCTTTACCGTCCAGTTGAGAGTTGATATCCGCTTGCAACTCATCGTTCTTGGCGGTCAATGTCGAAATTTCGGTCTGTAGAGACTCAATCTTGTTGTTTCTCTGTCCAATAGACGTTATCGTGAGTCAATATGAAATTGCACAGCGAAAGCCTGGTAAGGATGCCTGGAATCGATCCCTTTGTCTAATGCGATGCACAACAAAAGCCATGTAACCCACCTTTTGTAAAGCATCGGACGGAAAAGACCAATAGTAATTGGAGGTACCAATCTTGTCCATGGTGACCAAGTTATCATCTACCAAGCTTTGCAAGACATCCTTGACAGATTGCATAACTATCATGTTCGCCAGCCGCAAGCCAGAAGCGTAAGCTGAGAGGTGCCGATAGCGCAGAGACGTCTGACATACCTATGCCTTTCTGCTTTGGGGCAATCTTTTCCAGCTCCTTGAGTTGGAATACGTCTTTCTGTTTAAGTTGAATGTGTTAACAGGTGTTGAGGAATCTCGGAAGGTGCCCCACTAAGGCATCATACCGTCTCATGAAATAGCTGCTCGAGTCGCTTCAGCTTCTCTTCTGCCGAAAGTCCTTTTGGTGCCTGTTGTCAGGGTAGTCAATGGAGTCTAGGATGAGTACAGTCTTGTGATGAGAGATCAGGAGATCCGGACTGCTCACCATCGTGGTCCGTAGCAAACTCTTGCAAAGTCAATGATGTGAAAGAGACGCGTCACTATAGAGAAGCGCGTTCCAACGATACTTTGACCAAACAGGAAATTTGTTCGAGTCCCATTTCAGTGTGTCCCTGTTTTGCTTGTCTTGGCATACATAGAAGCGAGAATGGCCATTCATCGTACTGGTGAACGCTCCTGGCCTTTCTTTTAGGCATGGCTCTGTCAAAATCTTGGCTTGCATGGACAAAATGGATCCAAGAGCCACCATAACTTGCGCATATCATCCCCTGACGACTTCTTTAAGTAAAATTATCGGCGTAGTCTTCCAGTAATTGGTTGAAAAGGTACAAATGTCCGCGAATCAAGACCTCGAGCAGATCCAAGTGTCAGTCGCTGACGAAGAAGTCAAGAGTTCGAGGTAAAGGATATACTCCACTTGAACGCTTGAGCGAAACATGATCGTCTCAAGGCATATCCAAAGACAACTGATAGGTCGGTTCTTACGCGGCAAATGGTTTATAAACACGCTGTACATCCCGATATAGTACCATACTGAGTACTTTGTGGTCTGTACACGGGCAGCGAGGTAATTGACGCCATTGCAAACAGTCATAGATGTATATTAAAATTCGGCCCAAACAAGAAGTCCCGTGATATTACAAACATAATGGTGCCAAAATAAAAATTTTCAAGCAATCTCGAATAGTATAACGGTGAGTATCCCCGCCTGTCACGCGGGAGATCTGGGTTCGATTCCCAGTTCGAGAGCTTTCCTTTTGACTTTTTTATTCTTGCCGTTTCAATCCTGAACACCTTCAAGCTTGCTTTCTTTATACATAAATTTTTATTAGTCGCGCTGTGTTCTGCAAGATAAGACTTCTTTGGCCTGCCCCAAGTGCCCTGGTGTTGAATAGTCGGCCGAAGCAATCGACCAAGTTTCGCCGTTTGAGTGAGCGCAATTGGATAATCAGAAAGCTCTGTGCGTAGGAAGGTCATTATATCCAAGAAAAATCCATTGACATCGACGGTGCCAAATTTCTCCAAGCCAGGACCACACTCTTGTCATTTCAAGCCACTTGTTCGCGATGTAACGCGAGACCTTCGGTTGATATTAGAGAAACCAGAGTGCAAGCGGCAAATAGTCGCGAATGCGGTATCGAAGACTGGAGAAAAAATCAAAAAGAAAAGCTCTCGAACTGGGAATCGAACCCAGATCTCCCGCGTGACAGGCGGGGATACTCACCGTTATACTATTCGAGATTGTTGCGGAACAGAATTTTGAAGCTGGTATATAAAAGCTATATCACGTGATTTAATGAGTAGCCGACCCTCAACATCGTCCTCTCAGCTGATATAGTGATTTCGTTGGTAGTCTAAAGTTGCGTTGCTGCATTTGGGTACCAGCAGCTAGCCACAGATTGCAAAAGTTGAGCGTGATTGGAAGCTCCGATAGCTTCATTTCTTTGCTTTCCAGTTAAACCAATTTCAAGGCGTCCAGCCAATTTCGGCCAGAGTAGCTACCGGAGATTCGTCCATGCGGCAAGTGTCAAGCTGCGATGTGACCAAATCCAGAAGGACACTCTCAATAAGCGGTGTTTGAGGGCTATGGTGATCCTGCCTGAAGACATTTACCCCCAAATACTATCTCATCTGCCGAACGCAGCCGACATTTTGCCATTCATGCAAGTCCCGTTGACGCGTCCTTATGCAGTGTCGCTAGCGCAAAAGCCGACGGTGGTTTTTGGTCGACAAGAAAGCGAAGACGAAATGCTGGCGTTCGCGAAAAGCTATGGCCGATTCAAGACCGTTGTCTCGTTCCAGCAGCGTCCAAACGAATGGCAGGACCGTGGCAATACTCAAAATTCACCGTTCACTGAAACGGTCAATGCTGTATTGCTCCATTGTCCTCAAGTCCGCTTAGTGATACTCTATAGCGACTGGGCTGAGGAGAGCCTTAGGTCTCTGCTGTCAGAACAACAGCATCTCGATATGGTATTCTTCATTACTAAGCGCGGCAGGCGACATGTGTCCATTGGTTCCTACTGGTTGATGGATACGCTGAATAGGACAGCAT